ACCACCGCCCTTCAAACAACTGACAAGCTTTGATAAATCATAATTTTCGTTCTAAAACCACGTGACGTAAATTTTGAGATGGAGAACTAAGAAATGGGAAAGGCGAGAACATGTAGCTGACTGACCTTGATTGTTGTTTCAGGTAGATTCAGTGATGCTGCTAGTTCACATCGTTTTGGACGAGACACGTAATTTTCGCGGAGGAATTCTTTTTCCAACCTCGCTAACTGCTCTCTGGTGAAGGCGGTGCGGTACCGCCTCGGTTGATTGCTGTCCAGAGAATTATCTCCTGAAATCAAATGAAAAACTGCAATTAGTTTTCTGCTAACCCGTTTCTTGCAGTGGGAAGGTAAAACGACAATCGAAATGTTTGAAAAACGCGCTCAAATTAGTCATTCGCAAACCCGTTTCTGGCGAACAAATCACGCTTAAATTAAAGCGGGAGGGTCGTCACCTGCACACACACGGGAATTGAGTCCCAAGCGACGGTAACAACTACACGCTAACAACGCAAAAGCTCGTGGGTAGACGCTTGTTTGTAAACAATGACACGCTATGGCCATCTGACGCATGCGCAGGCGACGACTCCCCCGCTTTAAAAGAAGAAGTTCTGCAAATTTGATTTTTGTTCTTAAAATCATAATCCGTCTGATAGGTCGGGTAAGAGTACTTTCAAACTGCACAAATTGTTCGAATAATGAGAAACGACCTCGGAAAAAAATACCATGCCCGCATGGTTCACCAGCAGATGGGTAACATATGTTACTGAATATGGAGTCGTGTATGTACTAACTTGACCATGTGGATAATTAACTTATTGAAGCCGAGTTCCCGTCTCTTCTTCCGAACATTATCAACTGTTTAATTAACGTGTAAAATTTAAATTTGGTTTTGTTTGAAATTAATTTAATGGAAATTAAATGAGAACACATGTGCTGTTCGGTAAGTCGGTTTTAAAAAAATGTATCACGAAAGAAAAACACGAAAAACTGAGCTAAAAACATTTATTGACTTCAAAATGTGTTTAGTTTCCCACGTGATCCTGCAAAAGGGTCACCGATTGATGGCGCCAATTTTGTGATTTGACCAGCCAGACGACCCAGATATCGTCCAGTGAAAACGCTTCTAT